TTCACCGGATCGAGTCTTCTGTCCGGTGTCCAGTTGGATGCAATTTCAACGAATGGCGAGTCCAAAGGGCAGATGTTGACCCTATTGAAAACGTAAAACAAAGTAGATAGGAGTAAATTATGCGATTGAACGCGTGCGAAAATTTGTACAAAAATGCATTAGTATTTTCTGCTTCTTATTCTGATAATGATGAGATGAGTGACTTTCTTCAAGCAAATATTATGGCGGAATAGAAAAATCTTTGGAACACTGATATCGTTACCTACTATAACCAAAGAAAAAGAGTATCGCCTCGTACCGTCCACTTAACGGAAACGAAAGAAAAGTATATCGATGAATGGACGCCGTTGCCCGTCTATGAAACGTTAAACGCAATTTCATGGGGTTCGATCAGTGACGATAAGAGGCAGCATCAGGCAGGATTAGAATATCAATTATCGAAGAAACACAGGCCGTCGGTTTCTAAGAGGTTCTATTAGATACGAGCAGTCTGGCGCAAGCCAGCCAAGCAAGGCCACGGGTTTAAGGTCTTAACAGCTACTAAAGCAAAAGCTCCTTCTGTCTCGCTCTTAAGCACGGAAAACAAGCCGTGTTAGACGAAGGGGTGTATTGAGGGCCGCCATTGGCTATCCACGCTCCTTTATTGCCGGTTGCCTGGTAACCGGCTTGCCACCGACACACACCGATGGCAACCACCCTGCAACCACCCTGAAACCCGACAGCGCCGCGCACACCCTCGCTTAGGAACTCGCAACCACCACCACCACCACCACCAAGTATCGCCACCGTCTCTCGCCACCCTCTCCGCGATGCTCCACGAGCCAATGCATACACACGCACATTTTCTCAGCTACTCGGAACACACGCACACGTACATTCGCGTCAACCACCGTAAACGTGTGGGGATGTGCGATGGAATCTTCGTGTAATCGCCAAGAGTTGGTTGTGTGAGTGCGCGAAATAACACTGCCTGGTCTCAGCGTGTACGTACGCATGGCGTGAATATATTTAGCCAGGAAACTACCACTGTTTTCACGCGAGAGGGTGTTTCGAGAGCTGCCTCTCCGGCTGCCTCTGTGTGCACAAAGTCTGTGCTCCTGGCCGAGTAGACCGCAAAGTTTTCTCTGAAGTTGCTGGATTTCTTCCTTTTATCGGTGCTCCTGACAGCAGTTGAGGAAGATACTTTCCTGGATGATTGTGTTCCGCTGTTCGTAATCGCGGGCAGGACGTTGGGAGGAACGAAAGAAGGGGGTTGAAGTTTCTGGCTGCTGACTCTCCAAGTCGCGGCCTGTTTGATGTATGCTTTGGTCGCAGACTGCAACTTTGAAATTGATATACTTTACTACAGAAAATGAGCAAAGTTTGGAAAAAGACTTTGAGTTGCAAATTTCAAAGGAATGCTCGACATCCTGAAACTTGCGCCCCAAATATTCAGTTATTAATAATTGCGAGAGAACATAGTCTACAGACGCTATCTGTTTTCTGCAAAACTCACACTCAAATTCAGTCGTTCGATCGACCTTGTCCAATGTCATATTAAATCCAATAAAACGTTTCAGAGTGACGGTCAATTTGTTAGAACGACGACGACGTATACGAGCAAGCGTAATCTTGCGAGTTCTCTCATCGAGAAGATTAAAAACAATTGCTTCTGAAGTGGCTGTATGCGCAAACACGGTGTCTCCCTAGCGTAGTTCCCGAGGGAGGTCGCGACATCCCACGATATTCGAGGGCACTACGAACGGATTAGATCCAGGACAAATTAGAGGAGAGAGAAGCATCGGTCGCTGGGAAGCCGGGAATATATCAGGGTAGAGGGCAAACGTGTCCCGCTGGTCCCGTAATAGCTAACTGGATTTGATTAATCGATTTGGTTACAGCCTCCTACTTAGCCATCCTGACGCTTCCTGCCGTGTTTAATATCGATCATTCTCACGCGAGAATACGAGAATACGTCGTCATTCGCTATTTCTTTTCCACGATTGTGCGAGACGATCTAGTTAGGAGATGCTGTGCTGCGTCTCGAGCCGCAGATCTAAAATATCGTTCGACTTCTTCGTACAAAGAGAAAGAATTTTGTCTGGATTTGTTCCTTTTTTCTCGCTTAATCTCGTAGGATACGCTTGGAAAGAAAATACGAATAAACTTCAAACCCTCGATGCGATGTTATTAGCGTCAACTAGTCCGTACAAAATAATAATTGCAATTTATCGTAAGAATAATATGAAAAGATACACGGCAATTCGTACCTATGATATTTTCCATTAGTTGCGATGCAATACATATAGCAACACCATTTTCTTCAGGTTATTAGCATCCACTTGCGTCTACGTTCTCCGACGTGCAAAGCGATTGATTCGACGGCTTGCGGTAAATAAGCATACTTTAAAAGCCGGCAGCAGGAAGCAACGCGGTGCCGGGGTGGCGTAAAGAGGCCTCTCTACAATCTTGTGAAACAATGCATCGCGCGAGCTCCATGCTCGGTGTCTTAAGCTGTGCACAGTCGAGCCTCAAATATTTATTTTCCATTCGACTCCTTCATTTTTTGCATATGCGTGCATGCAAACTCATTGGCGTTGTTCGTGGAAAATATTGCAATCAGTGGTCTGTAAAGATAGGAAAAATATTTTTTACGTTCTTTCTTCAAACTCGACGAACGAAATGGTGATCACTCTTCGGTTGTTATGCTTACCATGTTATTTTAATTATCCTTTCGCTTTAATGAAAGTGATTCTGCCCGAAGCTGGTAGTTATGCTACGAGTCCAAGTCTTTTTACAAGATTGATAGAATAAATAGAGCAAAATTTATTTGACGCTCGGCTCAGAAAAGACGCTGCTGGATGGTATAGAGAGGCGCGTGTATGGGCAAGGAAGAAATGTTGGATAAAATTAAGCCGGCATGCAAGAAATTTGCTTGAATCCACTGAATGCGCCCGACGCTTCCTCATTAAGTTCTTCGTCTTCGTGACGACACAGCAGGAATACTTTCCTTCTTATCGACCGTGCCGAGATGAGAGTAACATTGGCGATAGTTTTCGTTAAGTAACTACAAACCGAAGAATAGTTGAAAACTCGATAGTTCTAACAAGGTATATAAGTATATCGAATTAATATAATTTTCTCGGATAATTAGGTGATTCCTAACCAAGTGAAACAAAAATCTATTGGAAAGAACGACGTTGTAAACGTCGCACAATATAGTTTAGAGTAAAAAACGATACGCTTTTCATCCCTGACGTTCTCTTTTTTTCTTTTTTTTTCTTTTTTCTTTTCAGCGAACTTCGTCAATGATTATAAAGCTATTCGTTTGACTTTGGAGAAGCGTTTTGAAAAAGCGACGAAGTGCAACGCGGACGAAAGCAAGAGAGCAGAATACAGACGCCAGCACAGAAAGGAAGGATTAACAATACATTTTAAAAGCCGCCTTCGCTATTTTCGCATACCATGTGTTCTATGTCGGTCGCGTTCATGAAACTGTTTTACTCAAACTTCGTCGAAATTTCTCTCTCGCCTTCTCTTTTCCAAGCTTTCGTGGCTTTCTCGGTGCTAACACATTTGGAAAACTAGCTTTGGTTATGCTTCCTTTTTCACAAAACTAAAGAACTTTAGTTTCGCGACATCCGTAACAACTTATCCAACGCAATTCTCAGTGTTAACTTCAACCATACATTTTCAGGCTAGATTAAGTCAGCAATGAAATATCGACGCAAAGGAAAGAAAGAGAAGACTTTTCGAAGCGATATCAAAGACCACTCGCTTACCTATCCATTCGCAAGCGACACAACGAGACAAAACACGAGTTACAAATTTGCGCGTACGATCTCAAAGGAACGTTTTTTAGAACTCACGCTCGTACACATTTAAGATCGTGCCATCCTTTCATTGTTTTTTCACGCGATTCTTATTATTTCGCTTGCGATAAAACTATCGCACACGATATTGCAAATGCGTTGCTACTAATGTGAACTGTGAAAACTTCGATGGAAATAATTCCGTAGGAAGAAATATGAAGATAGCCGTAGTAATCGTATCTATGTAACCGTGTGACGTTAGCAATGTGTTTCGTGGATCCAATTAGTCGAAGAACACATATAATTGGAATTAAGTTCTTAATTAATAGTTAATTAGCTGCCGGTAGTAGCGTCACCAACGGCTGGCAGCAGCAGCAACAACTGTAGTAACGAGTTAGCCCCGGGGAGAGGGATTCATTGTGGAGCGGCGCGCGCGCCACGAAGCCGGTTTTCGCTCATTAATTCGAAATTAATTTATAATTGATAATTATTTTCGGGCCATGGGTCCTATCCGTTTGCCATCTCGACGAACCTTTCTAATTTCCTGCCTCTCTTGTACGTAGAAAATTGCCATTTACCTTGGAAAGCATACACGAGCTGTCGAGTCACGAGCAGTATATATTTAAATGAAAAAGGAAAAAGAAAAGGTCGGAGAAATGTTTTTTTCCTTTCTTTATATCGTTGACATGCACACGCACGCGCCGTTAGCAGCACCCTCCCTAATTGGAGAACCTGGATTTTTGAGATGAAAATCCCGGTACTACGACCAGCTGGACAACAGGCTTTCCCGATATTTTTTCCCCCGACACTCCTATATTTTTTTTTTTTTTTTTCTACGTCAATTTTTTCCGCCCCGCCAGAGGTTGTTCCATCGAACTGTTCGAAATTCTGTTATCGGTAATAAATTTACCAGGTATTTTGCCGGAATATCGAGTGTCAAGTCCGCGCTGCGACAGTCGATATCGCGCATGGAAATTACGTTCCGATCTCCACGAGTTTTTCCGATCGAAACACGCATGTATACCTCGTCCCCGTTAATTGCGTTTCTTTTTTGTTCGGATCGAGTGGATAATGCTTTAAATGCGACGCTCTGCGAGTGCTGGACAAAGGGATGAACGATAAATGGAAAAATAGAATCGCATTACGTGCTTCTTAGTTGCGTGTCGATGCTTCAAAGGGTAAAATTGGAACATGAAAACGGATAAAAATGTTACGCGAATTTAGGTTGCGCGAAGCCCTCATCTTCCTTGTTTCCATCTATGCTGATGTCTCTGACAACCCGACTTTTTTCAATTGCCGAAAGAGACATTCTTTTCTATTCGATTCTCCTGACTCATCCTCGAAAGCTAGGTTAAAGAGTAAACGTTTTTCATTGTATTATCATTGATCACGATTAATCGTTAACGAAGGAAAGTCAAAGAAGGGATTGCGTGGACAAATAGAACCCGCATTCGATACAATTTGCATGAATACACGTGGTCTCGATTTATTGGCAAATCGGGTATAATGGGTAATTTGATCCTCGATGTACGCGCACGGATAGAATTCAGATCCGATGGATTATTGGACTGCGTTAATGATGATTTTTTGAAGGAAGGAGATACAGCTATAAATGCCATAAATTATGCACGGTTATTTAATCTACGTTCGCTTAACTACAACATCGTTAGCTTTGAAAAGTTAGTACATACCTATTATCCGTTTATTTTGTTGAAATTTAATAAATTTAATGATCTTGTTACAGGTGTCGGCCACAATATAGAATCCGGGAAAGATTTCACGGTCGACGGTCTCTCTGGTTTCAGTAAAAAGAAGAAGAAGAAACGCCGTCATAGGTGAGTGTCTCACCCGAATTTTCGTCGAGAACATTTTTTAGTTATCATTTGTGTTGCATCGAATTTTTCGCCATTTTTCGTAACTTTATTGTCGCCATTAATTTTGTCCGGCGCACTCTGTAAAAATTTTGATTGGAACGCAACGTGAAATCAGCGTGATAGAAATACGTGTGAATAATTAATAACCACTGGCAAAATTTTCGACGCAACGCTGAGAGCTATTCTTCCGCATTTTCGCTTGGTTATCCGCGGGTCTGCGAGACAATCGATCGCGTTTCAGTGATTTTCATTCGGCGATAATGATAAATTTATTCCAAACGAATATATCATTTTAGACTTTTCATCGTGTAATCGACGAGTCCCACCCCCGATAATGAGTTTTCAGCTATTTTGAAGTGACAGACAACCCGAATGCAATCACCGTTCCGCAATAATTGTATACCACGATGAACGAATTCAGACTTAAATTGATCGTTAAAAGATATATTTGTCGCTAGAAATCGATTCCATTGAAACGTTACATCACATAAGATATGTATTTGCGTATTATCGACAGAAAAGATTAAAAATTGATGTTGGAAACTGGTCGAACAGGTGAATGAAGAATTATTATATTCGTAAATTGAACGTAGACAAATTAAAATTTCTCACGGCTCGAATGTTTTATTGTAAAATTTATGAAATCTGTTTTAAATTCTGTAGGGGCAGATTAAAGATAGATTTACGCTGATTGATTTGTTCGAAATTTGTTTCGCCAAAATGTATAGAATTTAATCTTGCTTCGGCTGCATCAACCGATGAAATTGTTTTTCAATATTATTCGAACGATCAACTTTTTCTAGATCTATTTTCACTTACGAAATCAGTGTTTCATTTTCTGCGTGGCTTTTTTCTTTCGAGTGTAGGCTAGCTTTAAGGGAAAAGCTGTAATGGCATATAACTAGGTTCATACGGTTGTTGCTCCAGGACGATCTTCACGTCACAGCAGCTGGAGGAGCTGGAGGCAGCCTTCAAGGAAGCCCATTATCCTGACGTGTATGCTCGCGAGATGCTCAGCCTTCGAACCGATTTGCCCGAAGACAGGATACAGGTGAGCGAAAATCAAAAGACCTATGAAATCCGACCTTCTGACCCACGAATCGGACGGCTTCGATACTACCATTTCCTTGTGAAATTCGCGACTCAGGGGTATCGAGTTTCTTTGCGTAGATTCTCGTAAACCCGAATTGATCAAAGGCTATTACTTTTCTTCGTAACCATTAACTTTTTGTCGATGTTAAGGACTCGAAGACCGTACGTAATTTAGCTAAATATTTCATTGTTTAAACACTTAATATTTGTAACAAAGATTAAGATATTATGCTCCACAAGTTACGTGATTATAACGTTTCGAGGATTAATTAAATTAATTTGTGCAAAACAAGAAAACGCAACAGAACGAACAAGAATGGAAAATCTGATTGTAAACGCGTTAAAAAGGGGACCATTCTCAGTCGTGAATTACGTGAATTAGAACGTATAAATAATCGAAAGTGGTTGCTTTCAACGAGGAAACAAAGCTTCTAGCGTGCGTCGTTTTCATAATTTTCCTATTAAATTAACATACAATGCAATTCACTTCAATTACAGCTAACGTAAAATTTATAAAGACGTGTACAGTGAAGTCCTTAGGCTCGCTTTTCGTCGCGTCAAGCACTCGTTCTCGAATAGTTCGTAAATATTACACTGCGCAAAATTTCGACTATAATTCGCTATTAAAACCACAATCTGCTTTAACGATAATTTTGTTCATTAACGAAAATTAACAACGTAACACTCTCTTGGAAAATTTAACGTGCTATTCGTGACGATTATATGATATAATCAGTGGAAATATAAAGCTCCAATACGTTTTCGTGTAATTACTGCGTCGTTTTATCGTTGAAAATTTGGGCTCACAGCGACAACGAGGACGACTTTGTAAACAAATTTAACGCGTATTCGTTCATCAAAGAGAATCATTATCAATTAGTGCCCGGTGTTAGTTACATTTGTATAAATTACCATGCAATTAATTTCGTAAATTCATACGTTATCAACATAATGATGTAACAAAGGTATTATCTGTTTGTAATACTTTAATAAGCTAATTGACCGCAAAAATTTCTTTCATATAGCAATAATATTGTCTAAAAGTAGCCATAGATTTCTTTAACGAAAACGTAAGTTTTTCATCCCCTATCTGCTAGATCATGAATCAAACAACCCTATTATCCCTGCAATCTTATATAAGTCAGAGAACCTTGTTCTAGGACAACACCTCATAGAATACCGTAACAATTTACGAATCATCTACGCAACGAACCGCAACTTCTTCTTTACCCGATCACAAATGGCATCTTACTCGATGCCGTGGTGATATCGCGCGGAATTATCGACAGCATGCATAAAGCGGCGAAAGAACAGTCGCAAATGAAAGTGGTAAGGGTTGCAGTGGCGGCTGGTTGTCGGGGGTGGAGAATGGCAAGTCCAAAAGGCGCGACTATAAAAGGGAGAATTTTCCCGGGCTGACGGTTAGTTACCGCGGACTCGTGGAGTACCAGGCTGAGATAGGTTTCCGCATGGCGGACCCGGGACAAACTTCCCTTTCTCTCCCTGTTCCTCGTCCCTCATCCTCGCATCGTGATTTACCCCTCCGTCCTTGCTTCTTCTCTGCCTCGTTCTCCTTAATCCTTCGCGTCACTGTATCCTTTCACGAACAACATACGTGCGAACCATGCCTGCGAATTTAGACGGTCCGTGGAAAACGTCGAAACGGAGAACGAAGAAAAGAAAAATTCCAATCTCGAGCCTGTGCTAGGCATCGTAGAAAGACACCTACCTGACACGTGGGTGTGCACGTACGATAACGTCCATGAGTGTCTGTGCATAAATGTCCGCTGCACGTAGGTACATACACGCTACTAAATATATTTTTGTATAGGTAGGTATGTAACTGGAGAAACCAGGGTGACGAAGGTTAGAGGGATAACAGTGGTCCATGTAACAAGGGTGGCAAAGGAATCTCTAGAAGAGACAACACCAAAGGTAGAAAAGAAACGTCGAGGATACGTGCGACGAAGACGCGGCGGTTAGGTAAAATGAGGAGAAAGATCGCGAGAAAGAGGAAAAGGAGAATAAAAAGAGATGCAAGGGAAAGGGGTAGATAGGTAGGTACAGTCGAGTCGCGATTCACGGGGTTGTTGAAGCTTCGTGGCTGAAGCGTACAGGCGCGTATACAGAAAGAGAGGAGAAAGAGGGGGGGAAGGGAGAGAGAGAGAGAGAGAGAGAGAGAGAGAGAGGAAGAGAGTAACGGCGCCGTGAAACGACAAAGCGGCCATTGCAGGATGGGTGCGGTCCCGCGGGCCAATCAGAGAGACGAGTCGCGGACCGGTCGGCCAATCAGGCCGCGCCTTCCACCCGTCTTTT